AGTCTGGTCAAATCCGTATATGCGCACAGATAGTAAAATTAGAATCTATAAGACTTGCATACGACCGATCATGACATATGGCATAGAAGTGCGCGAAGATACCAACAAAACGAAACAGATGCTAAGGGTTGCCGAAATGAAAACCCTAAGAACAATAATGGGGAAAACAAGAAGAGACAGAGTGAGAAATACAAACATTAGAGAGCAGTGCAAAATTCAAGATATTGTAAGATGGGGAAGGCAGCGCAAGAGGATGTGGTACAACCATGTAAGACGAATGGATGAGAATAGACTCCCAAAAATTGCCCTAGAAAACAATCCGCCCGGTTCAAGACCCCCCGGAAGACCACCTAAAAGATGGAGGGATAGTTGGCAATCTACCTCCCAAGAAATTAACCAGAGGCAGCTTCAGAATTAAACAGATCGAAAGATCTACAAAAAGTAGAAGAAGAAGAAGAAGAGGCGAAAAAAGTGACAACGACATGATCAACAGATCCATATTAAAAAAATCATACGTCATAAACTATGAACATTGAAAAGGCTCTCCTCTCTGTTATTGTGAATTTGAAAATGTATGTGTATGAGGCAGAACAAGAACGTTTGAAACGTCTAATGGACAAACGCCTTCGAGACGACGACGAGAATGAAAATATTGAGTGCGCCAATGACGAAGAAAAAAACAAAGAAGAAAATAACAGAACAAATGGATGAAAATAGTGATACAGAAAAAGAAATTTCTGATACGGAAGGTGCTGAAATGGGGGTTTCTGCTGGGCCTTTTTTTCTTGGTGAAGACACAACTACTAAATAAATGAAACATATTCCTCCAAGAAATGTTAGAACACGTTCAGAAAACTTAAATACGCATTTGCCAGACGGTAAAAAATTTAACAACCAATCAACTGAGGAGTAAGACAAGGAGACACAATATCTTCGAAATTATTTACAGCTGCCCTAGAAGATATCTTTAAGTCAATAGACTGGGAAAATAAGGGAATTTCTATTAACGGAAAATACTTGAACCATCTTGGATACGCAGATGATGTAGTACTAATAGCCGACACGTGGAATGCACTGGATACGATGATTGAAGAGCTAATGTCAAACTAAGATGACAAACCTATGATACACATCGAAGGAACAGAGATAGAAGATAGAAAACGTAAATGAATATACATATCTGGGTCAAAATGTCAAGGTAAGCAAAGAAAATAAGACTACCGAAATAAGCAGACGTGTAAAAATGGAATGGGCAGCATTCGGAAGACTCTTATAGGTACTTAAAAATAAAAATATACCTTAAACACTGCGGACCAAAGTGTTTAATTCCTGTATCCTACCTGTACTTATATATGGAGCTCAAACCTGGACATTCACTAAAATAAATATGGAGAAGATCAGAAAAACTCAGAGAGCTATGGAACGAGAGATGCTAGGTCCAGATGGAAACCAATGAAGACATTCAATGGACATAACTAACGTCTTAAGGATGATTGATAGAATAAAGAAATCGGGAATTGGCGGCCATATGAAGCCAAAAGACCACGAGGAAGACCGTAAATGCGCTGGAACGACGATGTTAAAAGAACTACAGGTCCAATGTCTTATAAACAACAGAGATGAATGGCGAGAATCCAGAGAGGCCTATATTTGGCAAATGAACTAGATATTTGGAAATATTTTTTAAGGACACCATGATAATCATTATTGTTAAATCTTCAAACAAACATATCAGATACTTGCGAGGAACGCAAAGCAGATGCTTTAAAAATTCGTGCTTTTATTGGATTACTCTATTTGGCAGATGCATTGAAATGTTTCAGGTTAAGCACAGACGAACTTTAAAATAAAGACGGTACAGGAATTAAGATGTTTCGACTAAGTATGTCCAGGTACCGATTTAAATTTTTCCCCCTTCAGGATGACCCCAATTGTTATATTGAGGTCATCGTATGTGCAGAACGCAACATAATGATTCTGGAATTGATTTTGGTTCTTACTAACGGTTGATAGTTGTGTATTTCGTGCTAGGAAATTATGGAGAGCAGTTAGATTATTAAGAATAAATATGCAGTCATCACTGGAAACGGTACTGTATGTCGTAGAAACCTTTCCGTCAACAGAAAGCCTATCAACCGTTCTTAAGTTCCAAACTGGTCGCAATATTCTACTCAAATACAAATATAAACTATTACGTTTCGCCAAAAAAACAAACGGACCGGTGAATTCATATCCGGTAGTATTTGGTACTGTTGGCAGTGTTTGTGACATATTTATTCTTAATAATCTAACTGCTCTCCATAATTTCCTAGTACGAAATACACAACTATCAACCGTTAGCAAGAACCAAAATCAATTCCAGAATCATTATGTTGCGTTCTGCACATACGATGACCTCAATATAACAATTGGGGTCATCCTGAAGGGGGAGAGAATGATATTCTGTTCAATCTAGAACTCGCTGGTTTCCCCCTTTAGGATGACCCCAATTGTTATATTGAGGTCATCGTATGTGCAGAACGCAACACTGCCTACGACTGCGCTAGGAATACTCGACGATGGCCATATGGCCAATAGTAATTTTTTATTTCATGCTCAATATAACTGGTATAAACTACATGGTCCTTTTCTATTATAATAATAACGAGATTCGTTTACCACGAAGACAATTTTTGCTCAATTTAGCATTCGGTCTGATCGAACCGCAACTTAACATTCGTGCTTGTCAAGCAAATATACCACGAATTATTTCAGCGAAAATAAAGGAAATCACTAAGGTAGATCCTGTAAATCACCCTCGACATATTCCAGAAGGAAGTAGAGGCAGATGTGGCTTTTGCGATAGAATAAAAAACAAACTCACCAGTGGCAAATGCAAAAAATGTGAAAAATTTATGTTTGGTGAACACACTGTCTATACTTGCCCAGAAATATAAAAAAATTTATATTTCAATCAGTTGTTTCGATTTTCAATATTTTTTTTCAAATGTATTTGCGATATTCCATATTTTAAATTTTATAATTTTTTACTCAGAATAAATTAAGTTTATCAGTTTCAAATAGTTGATAAACATCTACTTAAATCATTTTCGAAGTTAGTACAATAAATTTAAACCAATAGGTTTAAAAGGTAGCTAGTAAAAAAATATATGTGGACAAATATATAAGGACAAATATTATAAGCACCAGCTGGGGAAGGTTTTCTTAGTGATTTTAAAGATTGCATTCTAACAAAATCTTCAATGAATCCTACTAGATTCTATAGAGAAACCTGCAAGATAATTTGTTTTCTTTGGCAAAATGAATCAAATTGAGACGTAGAATAATAAAGATTGTATGTTACAACTTGAGATTTACTCCCAAAAGATGTTTGAAATAATTAAAATGAGATACAAATCAAAAATATCCGCGTGTACTAAAAAAATTGGACAAAAAGGATTTTGGTTTTCAACAAATATCTCGAATAGCTTGACAATAGAATGTAAACATGTCAAATATGTCTGTAATAGCAGCACTTATTTCACTTTAAAATCAGTCAAATTTTCTAATTTCTATGTGTTTGTATAAAACATTTCGAAAATACATTAAAACTGATAAAAGTCCTTTCATTTCCTTATAAAACTAAATAAAGTCCTTAAACAATAAACAACAATAAGAATTGTTTATAGAATTGTCTGTAAATTTGAATGTATACTTTGATATCTGTTTTTATTGTAGAAAACGTTTCATATTATGTCGTATATTTTATTGTATTCTATTCGAAAATATACTGGCCTGGAAAAAAGGAAAGATACAGAAATTGCCACATTTATACATATGGAAAAAGCCTACAACAACTTACTGAGTTCACACGTGAAGAAACAAACAAACATACAGTACAACAGGTCCTGAATATACCTTATAACTGCGAAACTGAGAAGTCTAGATCTTTTGAACTAAAAGAAAGTTGTAGGGTGTACATAATATATCTTTCACAAAATATCAGTTCAATTTTAAGTGTTAAAAACTTCTTGATTTTAAACGATATCATTTAACCAATAGCTACAGCGAATTTGGCTCAAAAGAAAATGTTTAAAATGGCAAAATGGATAAGTGTTAATAAAAATCATACTCCAAATCATTCTCGTATTAGATAACAGTGGTACTGACATGATTTAGAGAATAGCAGCTTAAATTAACATAAATGTCAACGGACTGCAGTTTCTTCAGTCCCTTCACCATCAAGGTTAAAAAATACGATATTTCAGCCATATTATGAAGAAAAAAAACTATTAAATTAATCATTAAAAGAAAAACTGAGGCAAAGTCGTTCAAATAGAAGGAAGACACCAGTAGCAGCAGTAGAAATACTGAAGATCAGTCAAATTAATTCTCGGCATGCTAAGACGACATAGTACTTAAAAAAAAGAAGAACGGACATGTCATCCACTCCACTATTAATGGACAAATTTTCATGGTAATAGTTGAAGTAAAATTAATAACTGTAGCATCCTCCTGATAGTCCAATTTAGTACCGTGTGATTATTGCAAGATATAAAATAATATAAATGATTTATCAAAGATTTTGCGAACGTATGTCGAAAGGTAACTTATGAGACCCTAAGAAAGAAAAACAAACTAAGAAGAAGGAAGAAATCTAAAAAAGGAATGTAAAAGAATACGAAAGAAACAAGACATGTAGGACGCCCTTTGAAACTATGGTGAGGAGTTTGATACTAGAACAAACAATAAAATTGCCGAAACAAAAAACCTGTAACTTAGTAACTAGCTACTGCCACAAACGAGCAGTTTACAAACTACTGCATAGTACGAGTCAAGACGAAACTGATTTGCTGTTTTAATGCCAAAAAAACTATATACACAAGATAAATAATATTAAAAACCATGTCAATTAATGTCTTAACAGAAAACTTTTCTGTTAGCTGTGTTTTTTGGTGAGATAATTTCCTAATTTTAATATCTCACTTATTATCTTTATTTGTTATCGTTCCTCACTTTATTCACATACTGTATTTAACTGTGGTCTCGTAAAACGAATGAGGTGTGTTAGCTGCAGGAGGCGAAGGAAGCGACGCTGGAATCGAAGGCGACGGGGGACCTATGTACGGTTTTCTATCACATTGCACTGGTTGCACTGAGTTGCTTGGTGGCCTCATCACTGAAACAGAAGAAATTGTCATTAAACAATGATAATCGCCTTGTATTTTTACGATATATGTACGTCTCAAATATGGGCAATGACAACAGTAGACAATAGACAAGTACAAAATAGACAAAAAAACATAAAAATAAACAGAATCCTGCTTTGCAGTATTAATGTAGACATCGTAGGACCAATGAATTCTAACTGAGATGGTTGACGAGATTGAGTACATACCTTTAATCTATTACCTCGTGGAAATAAAAGAAAATTTATTACTTTATGAGGTGAAGCTAAGAAAAAAGTTTCGATAAATGATTTCAGACTCGGTTCATATGGAAAAAAATCAATTTATGTAAAGAGACAAGGAGGTTATGGTCAGAGCATACCTCCTTATCTCAAAAATGAAACTGAGGGTAAAAAATATAATAAAATCCAAAAGTTCTAAGGTGAATATTCAGTTACTCAAGATAAATGAAATTCGTGCTGGGGCTTCAACTTGTATCAATCAAGAAATGAAGAAATTAACATCAGAAATAAAAAAAACACTGAGAATGTGAATATTATATGGAGCAAAATCAAAGATTATGTTATAAAAACACAGAAAGAAACTCTACAAAAAAAAACAGAAAGCCGAAAACCTTGAATGACTTAAGAAATACTGGAAATCATGGAAGAAAGAAGAAAATATAGAAACAAAAACCCAAATAAGTACAGAGAAAAACATAAATTAAAAGAACAAAATAAAAGAGGCTAAGGAAAATGGATGATGGAGACATGCATCGAAGTGGAAAGAATTGCAGAAAAGGCATAATCATTATAATTTACATAAAAAAGTAAAGTGAAAGAATTATCTGGAAAATCACGAACAAATACACCTAACCGATTAATTGACAAAAACAATAAACCTATTAATAATCCAATTGAAATAAAACAAGTATGGACTAAATATAATGAAGATCTTTTCATGGACACAAGAACGGAACCAACACAAATTGATAACGAGGAAGCTCCAATAAATATTAAAATCTGAAGTCCAACATGCTATAAACAACTCAAAATCTGGAAGAGCCCTGGGCCAGATGAAGTTCATATCGAGCTGATTAATAACATATACAAATCTGGTGAGATACCGACCTTTGTTCCACTACCAAAAATCAAGAACCCCAAACACTGTAATGACTATAGATTAATCAGCTTAATGTCACACTTATTAAAAACAGTTTTAAAGATTATACATGCAAGAATATTCAGAAACTACGTCATGAGCCAAAGCCTTCTTCAGAACAATCTTCCATTCGCCATTTTAGATCATCCTCTATGTTATCTTGATACCTAAGTTTTGGTCTTCCTCTGGATCGTCTTACCACTGGTGCTCTTTGGTCGAAAATTTTTCTGACCATTGCGTCTTTATCTCGCCTAATTACATGTCCTATCCATCGAAGGCGTGCTAATTTAATAAATTTTACAACGTCAGGTTCCCCAAAACTTCTGTATAACTCAAAGTTGTAGCGCCTACGCCACAAACCCTGTTCTTGGACTCCTCCATATATTTTCCTTAGAATTTTTCTCTCGAAACGTCTAAGCAGTTCTTGGTCGTTCTGTGTGAGTGACCACGTTTCTGACCCTTATGTTAACACTGGCCTTATTAGTGTTTTATAGTATGGTAATTTTAATTTTTCTGAGTAATTTTGGGGCCATCTGTTTCCTCAAGCCATAATAGCACTTATTGGCAAGCACTATTCTTCTTTTAATTTCTTCGCTGACATTGTTGTCTTTGGTCAGCAGCGAGCCCAGGTAGATGAAGGTGTCCACACCTTCCAGTTCCAGATCATCAATTAATAGTCTAGGTATCTGGTTGCCTGATCTAGTACAATACATATACTTGGTTTTCTGTGAGTTTATTTTTAATCCCATTCTCAGTGCAGACGCCCTTAATGATCGAAATGCTTCGATCAGAGATTCCGTGGACCTAGCAATAATGTCTAGTCATCTGCATATCCGACCACTTGTACAGATTTATTAAAAATGGTGCCATTCGTATTAATATGGCACTCTCGGATTACTTTTTCTAGTGCAAGGTTAAATAAGAGACACGGCAGTCCATCTCCCTGTCTCAGTCCATTTTTACAATGGAAGGGTCTTGAAAAGTCGTTTTGGATTCTGACTACGCTCTCTACGCCTATGAGTGTAAGTTCCGTTAGTTGAACAAAATGAAGCGGCATTTGAAATTCCACCATAGCCTGTAGAAGTTTTTGTCTGTTGACTGAGTCATATACGGCTTTGAAATCCACGAATATGTGATGAGTATCGACTCCGAACTCAAGCGTTTTCTCAAGAATCTGCCTATGAAGATTTGATCCGTTGTTAATTTATTGGGTCGGAAACCGCATTGGTAGTTCCCAACTATTTGTTCGGCATAGGGAATCAATCTTCTGTAAATACTTTATATGCTACGTTAAGTAGGGTGATGCCTCTATAATTGTCACACACCATCATATCTCCTTTTTTGTGAAGAGGGTGCATTACACCTAATTTGTTTGTGTACAGTCTGCGGGCGTTTATGCATGCAATTTATGCATGTGTTTGAAAAGGGTGTCACCACCATTTTTAAAGAGCTCGGCAGGAAGATTGTCCAAACCAGGGGCTTTGTTATTTTTAGTTTTGAAATGGCTTCTCTAATTTCTTCTTCGTCGTTTAATAATAATGAATAATAATAATAAACATAAAGAAAACAAAAACCACGGTTATTAGTAAGAGTGGGCAAAGTCATTTAAATATCCAAATAAAAAATGAAGATACTAAGCAAGTAGACAAAATTAAATACATAGGAGTTTGGATTACGGAATATCTAAATCCGAAATCAGAAATTCGCTTAAGAATAGAGCAATCAAGAGCAGTTTTTTTGAAGATGTCCAATTTCGGACATTGCTCGTAACATATATACAGTATTTAAAGATTTATATTTAATTATTTTTTTAATACTTTATTAATATTAAGCATACTCGTAAAACCCTACCTGTAGTCTGTGTGGCATTCAAACACATGCTATTGTAAAACTAAAATAGCTGTCATCTCAGTCATTAGACACCGTCTCGTGCCAGTAATAGTAAAGGCTCAAATTACAGAAAAAAGAAAGTAACTGTCAGTTTAGAATGAAAGAAAACGAAAACAAAAAGCTTTTCGTTATTAAGTTTATCAAAATTTTTATATTTGTTCAAATTTTTTTTTCTGACAAATCCTGCCTGACAAAAGAATAGTTAGGACTGTAGATTTGGACTGTTATTCATGTGTTAGTTACTTGTTAGCAAATTGTGTTTTTCGAAAATTAAACACGCCTAAATAGTACGGTACAAGAAATCGCAAAATAAAGTAAGAACATGGACAGATAAGTACTCTTTAAGGAAATTAGTGAGCAGTACAAAATAAGAAGGCGATGAAAGTTAAAAAAGTAGGTACGGAACTGATAACAGAACCAGATGATAACATAGGAGGGAATATGTTGATATGAAGAAACTGTAGGTAACTGATGTATCTGTGAAAAAATCATTGATTCAACGTAAAAATCTTATACAGATTTTTGAAGATTCTAAAGGGTATATGAGGGGTAGCTGATAACAAGTCGTTGAAGACATACACCTGAAAGTTAAAAAGGTTTAAGCTCTTTAACTTGAAAGTTTCTAAATTATAATGCATAAATAAATTGATCGAGATATTTAAAAAAAGGAGGTTCAGTAGGCGGCAGGGGAGGCCGGGGTGTGTTGACTTATTTTTTTAATAATTAATTTTTACTGATTTATTTTTTCCATACTGTTAAATTTAAGTATGTCAGCTGGTTATATACTCCTTAGGTATTGTACATACATTTTTAATTAATTCGAGTTCTCCGTTAAAAAAAGTTCCAAGTAAATTTTTACTGCCTTGCCAAATAAGTCAAGTAACCCCGGGTGTGGGTTTAGTTGACTAACCACCTGGGATTAGTTGAGTCAATATTGTCGTCTTAGTGATATCATAAGGGTAATAACAGTGACACAATCCAAAACAAATTAAGATTCAATTTTTCACAACTATTTTGACCATATACATTAAAAAAATCCAAAAATTAAAAAGAAACTCACAAATCGTCTGAATCACAATTGATGCATATGAAAAAAGTGATATTACTTTTGTTCGTGCATTTGATGTGAGCTTATCTGCTGCAATTGTACCCTGTCATCACGATAGGATTCTTCACATACTAAGCACTCACTTTCACCCTCAGATTCCGAGGATCTAGGGCCATGATGAGCTGCAGACGTAGATGGAATCGGTTCCCAGAAAAGAAATTCGGTCGTCTCTAATTTTCGTATTTTTGATGCCTTTGTTTTGGTTGCATGTTGTTCTTTAATGTAAATCTTTCTTTTCTTTCGCGTTCTGCCTTTCTTTCATGAGAGCGTCTTCTATCGAAGTGTGGTTTAAAATAGCAGTTTGTCTCTTCTTCCGTGGTTTTCTCGAATTTTGTCGAATCAAAATGGTATTACAGATGTGTTTAAAGATCTAAACAGAATATTCAACTGCAACGAGATAACCTTTTTCATGGCACCACATTATAAACAAGTGTTAGTTAAAAGAGGGTCTAAAACTGTATATAATAGTAAATAGTAAACACCACCAATGGTTTTTGTTTTCCTATACAAGGCTACCACATTTAGTTCCATCTATGCTAATAGGTTGGGGTATCGAGATACAATGAAAGTGGATGGATGAATACAGAAACGTTTATGAGTATGTAGCAAACTATTTTAATAAATGGTTAAACGAAGAATAATTAAGCGACCTTACGTGTTATTTTTGGGTAAACATGTTAGCCATATATCTCTGACATTGAACGAGTTTTGTCGTGAAAATGGAATTGTTTTGGTAGCACTGGTTCCAAATTCCATACATATCATGCAGCCAACTGATGTTGCTATATTCCGACCTGTCAAAGCTACATACTGCAAAATAGTTCATGATTGCTGTACCTATTTTGAAAATCAATCTCCCAAAAATTATGCTGAATCCTATTTTGTCGCTTCTCCAAAATTTCCATCCCCATTTAAAAATGCATTTTATTTATCCAGAAAAATATGTCAAACGTCCAAAACAGCAAAGGCTACAAAAAAATTAACACTTGTAGTAACAATTGCTGATGATTTCATGGAGTACCAGAGAAGAGTAGAAGCTGAAAATAATGAAAAGGAAGCAAGGAAAAAACAAAAGCTTGAAGAAAAAGAAAAAAGCACCTAACATCACGAAGAAAAATGCAGAATATTATGGCAAGAGAACAGAAAAAATTTAAATTTCGAAAGCTATAAAATTAAACATAAACATTGAGAATAAAGAAAAACAAAGAGGAGAGATAGATGGAGCAAATAAAAAAAAATTTAATTTAAAACAAAAATGTTGGTTCTGAGGGAAAACAGATGAAAGAACTTTAAAAAGGTGGGCGACTATGAACTAGATGACTACGTCATTGTAGTTTACGAGTAGAAACATTTTCCAGGAGTAGTAGAAGAGTTAACAGATGATAAATTCAAAATCAAAGCTGTGGAAAAGATAGGATATCATTATCAAAAAATTGTTTGTTTAATTGAACCACCTCAGTACATTAAGAATTTTCTGTACCTGAGGTAAATAATTTGTAGGTCTTTCGCAGCTCTTTGATCTTATGCAATAAATGAAAAAAAAGACTGTTGCTAAATAACATTTAAGTATTTTTTGTTTTTTATGTTCAAAATGTAGTACGTATGTACATCGTTTTATTTTATTTAGTTTTTCTATGCCTCTTCTATATAAAAATCTATCGTTTTTATGCATCTGTATTTCTTATAACTACTTTGAAAGCATTAAAATAAATATTTACAAAAGACAAAAGACTGTGTGTAAAGTTTAAAAAAAGATAATCCTTTTGATACACAGGCCGGAATTAAATCACTATTAGGCGGATATTACCACTAATTTGTCAACGCATGCCGGAATTAAATTTTTTTTGCATTTTAATGAAAACAATTTTTTTGACGAATAAAAACCACATTATTCACTTTTTATTAATTATTTTGATAAAGAAAACATCAAGCTATCAAATATATTTTAAATCCGTTTTCTCTACTATTTCGTTTCCCCTTATATTTAGGTCGGTTTATCTTAATTGAAACTCCACAGCTATTGGTCAATGGAAGTGATAAATTTTATTGTATTTATTATTTATTTATACAATTTAATTTAATTTATTGTATTTATTTAAACTCCGCCTCCGGTAAGTGCTGGGTGGATTGAGTAGCTCAGTAAATGCCGGTGCCGGTCCCAAGCCGGATAAAGGAGGAGGGTTGAGGCGATGGGCTAGCAACTCATCCCTTGTCAAAACAAATAAATGCTAAAAATTTCTACCAAAAGCCTCGGAATACAAAGGATGGATCAAAACAAAGACGACTAATGCAACGGAAAAGGAAAATGATATTGGCTACATGGAATGTACAAGGACTTAGATTTAAACAAGCAGAAATATTTAAAGAATTAGCGGAAAGAAAAATAGGATATATGTATTCTCACCGAGACCAAGAAAAAGAAAAGGAAATGAAGAGATAGAAGAATATATACATATCTACAGTTGAGTCAGTAAAGATAACAGAGCTAAGAGAGGACTCTCTATTGCCATTCGAAAAAATCTTAAAAAAATATTAAATCGTGGACTGAAGTAAATAAAAAACTGCTGATACTGGAAATGAAAAAGAATGGGCACAACATCGTAATTGTCGGAGTGTATGCCCCAAATGAAGATGTAGATGCAGAAGAATAAAGGCAAGGAATCTATCTACCCACCTATTGTTTGTAGATTTAGAGAAGGCATACGATACAGTACCTTTAAAAAAACTGTTTCAAACATTGACGAAAGTAGGTCTCAGTAGAGAGTATGGGGATGCTATCGCAAATATATACAAAAATTCAAGAAGTGTCGTTAAAGAAGGAAACTTTATATCTGAATCATTTCCAATAACAAAGGAGCTTAAACAAGCATGTTGTCTATCTCCTACCTTATTTAAAATATATATTCAATCATCGCTAGAACAGTGGAGGAAACAAGTATCCGGAATGGGAATAGACATATGCGATGATAAATGTCTAACAACTTTATTTTTCGCAGATGATCAGGTAGATGTAGTAGTAATGATGAGGAAAGACATGGACTACATGTGTAGAAAACTAAAGAAAGAATATGAAAAATGGGGCCTCAATATGAATATGTCAAAGACAGAGTATCTTAAAATAGGAGATGATGAAGAAGATCCAGAGTTAGAAATTAGAAACACAAAAACATGCAAGGAATATAAATATCTCGGATCTATAATATCTAAAGAAGGCACTACCAAAAGAGACATCAAAAACAGAACGCAGCAGGGAAAAAAAGCGGTTAACATTCTAAATTCTCTACCATGGTCTAGAGATATTAAACAAGAAACGAAATTGACAATCTATCGAACCTTGGTAGAGCCTATTATGACTTATGGGGCAGAAGTTTGGCAGATCAAGAAAAAAGATAGAAAAGAAAGAAGTAGTAGAAATGGATTTTCTAAGGAGAGCGTGTGGTGTATCCAAAAAAGATCATATCAGGAATGAAGATATTAGAAGGAGGATAAATACAGTATATTCCAGTGTAGACAGAATTGAAACGAGACAACTAGTGTGGTATGGTCACGTGAAGCGAATGAATGAAGATAGATAGCCAAAGAAAGCTTTAAATTACATACCACAACAAAGAAGAAGGGGTGGAAGGCCTTTAATTGCCTGAGAAGAAAATGTAGGGCACATAATGAGAGACAGAGCCTAATGCCTGAGAAGAAATGAGGACTAATGAGGACAGAGCCATAAAGATGAGGTTGGACAGAAAACGATGGCGGTTGAAATGCCTCATATTTGTTGCCTAAACACAATATCGAAATTATTTTGTGTTATAGGTTTCGAAGATTAGGATCTAATAATGGAAATTCCACAGCTATTGGTCAATGGAAGTGAAAAATTTTATTGATTTTTGAGTAAAAAAACGGCAAAAATTGGGCAACGGTTATTTATTTAACCGCTTTATAGAAATCGACATCATTTGCGGCAAAATGCAATAATTGCATACTAAATCTGCACTCTTTACCTTTAAAACACATTTTGAATTTTGTCGATAGGACACTCTTATCAAAAGATATTGAATTTTTACCATCAAGTTGATACAATATTTATTTAAAAAATTCCCGCGCGTAACTGACATTCAACAGCACCGGTCGCGTAAGCATTGTTTTGGAAGAGAACAGTTTAATTCTATACAAAAAGTGTGTGTTTGTTCAAAATCTCAGCTATATTTCTTCTGTGAAACATTTTTCTACCGGCGTTACAGATTCTTGATAAATCGATGTGTTCTCTCCTAAGGTGGAGGTTTTAGGGGCCGATACCTGGGGGCAGGAGTGATAAACTTTTTATGCATCTTGTTCAGGGTAAAAAACTACATTCTCAGCAAAATTCAGCTTGTTTTACGATCAAATCTGTAACGACAAACTAAACGAATTGAGAACAAATACGATATTGGAACATTTCAAATAACTAATATAATAAGTTTTATTTTATCGAGGGGAAGACAGCAGTTACATTAAAAAGAAATAAAAAAATAATTTATTAAATAACTTTTTGAATGAGAAATCTCACGATATCTATAATTTGGCAAATATTCATGAACTTTTAAAACACAAAAAAAAAATTAGATAAGCTAGAGCTGGTTTATTTCAACAGAACTTATTCATTTAACATAACTTTTGATTTAAAAGACTAGATATCAAATTAACAGTTATTTTATAATTTATGATATATTCTGTACAATATAATAAATTAAATGTGGAAAGAACTGAGCCGAAAAAAAATTGAGAAATTAATTTGTATTTATTTCAGTGTAACCAAATTCACACGATATAGTTGCGATAATTCAAATAATTTATTGAAAACAAATTTTGATTAGATCGAACAGGAGACGTTACTTATAATTAAGTAGTATTATAATTAAGTTAAGTTACTTTATAATTAAACTTTACAATTCATAACAACTGTAAAATAATAATAAAGATTTGTAATACGCAACTTGTTAATATTTAATTAAAATAATAAAAAATTTCAAGTATATAAGTAAATATGAATGATAATATTGAAATATATAATATATATAATCGGTAAAAAAAATTGTTGGAAAAAAGTAACAATTAAAAAAACTTACTGTTTTCTGAAGACGACGAGCTGATTCCTCCATAGGGGTAGTAATTTTCATTCAACACAGGCGATGAACCTTCTTGTCCGTCGTTGATCGGGCTCAAAGGAGCTTTCATATACGTACTAGAAATCGTACTATCTGAATATGAAGGTAACAGTCCAGTAGCACCGCTCCACTCTCTATCACATTGCTGCTGGTACATAGAAGGGTATTCGTAGTTCCCGTAGTGCGATGCTGAGACACTAGGAACTTGAGGAGTACCGTTGTATGAACAGGTGTTGTAATCTTGGGTTATAAGTGATTGGTGATCGTAGGAAGCAGCTTGGTTGACGATATTAGCCATATTATTGGTAAAGAACGAACCTGGATGATACTGCGGCTTCATAGCTTGGCATTTTCTCCGAAATCCTCGCGGCCGCCGCCGGAAAGAGCCTTCTTCGAACATAAACTCACTAGCAGGATCGATCGTCCAATAATGTCCTTTTCCTGGTCGTCCCAGGCCTTTGGGTAGTTTTATAAAGCACTCGTTGAGCGAAAGATTGTGTCTCACTGAGTTCTTCCATCCTTGATACGAACCTCTGAAGAACGGGAACCTTTGTTGTAAGAAAGTGTAGATTTCACTTAAAGTTAGTCGTTTTGTAGGTGAATGTTGAATAGCCATAACTATCAGCGCTATATAGGAGTACGGTGGTTTTTCCTGCCGTCGTATTCCCGACTTTTTTTCTGTACTAGTTGGTTTAGTATCAGCTTCATGTTGGGTGGTTTCAGGCTGAGACGTCTGGGGTTGTTCGTTGGCCAAAATAACGCTCGTGTGGTTCTGGTGCAAGTGTAACTGATGTAGATGCTGTTGTATATTGATGTTTTGATGCACAACTGGACTTGCCGCACTCTCCGTTAACTCCTTCATTATAAATTAAACATTTACACTTACAAAACTAAACAATTTAAATTTTCGTCTTTATATTACAAACATTTGATACTCGTAACGACTGTATACATAAATATTGTATATATACAGTAAGTTTATATACAAACGGGCCCGATTTTATATACAAAACTCGAAAATTTGAATGATACTGTTCGCGTAGAAGTTGGAGAGCCGTCTGTGGGTAAAGATGTGTTGTTTAGGATGTGGTCTTAGCTTAGAGGATGATGATACAGGCGGGGACTAAGTTTGGCTTGTGTGGGATGGACCCGGCATCTGCTCTGGTTTCGTGACTGAGTAATGTCGGAATCGCGCACACGAAACGGTAAGAGAACATCACACATATACGGTACGATACAAATAGTTCATTTTTAAAGAATATTTTTAATTTACTGTAATCATTTTTGTAGCTTATGCAAAGAATGATACACTTCGTAATTTTTTATAGTTTGATTTAGCCTTTTTTTGTTACATTACTTCTAATATTATTTCCTTTATTGTGACATTTCGATTTTAACAACAAATTTAAAAAAAAATTGGGATAAATTTCTCTACACATTTTTATAAGTGATAATTTTTTTTATACGTGATATCTTCTAATTCTGTAATGTTTTTCGTAGGGAATATTTTAAACATGTTTTTGTTCAATATATAAATTTTTTATGCGATATTTATTTACTTTAAACCATTTTCGTTAAAAGATTTTTTTTTATTAATCCTAACTTTACTTATTTGGCTTTTATATTAATTTTTAAAATACCTTCTTCTTCTTCAGATGCAAATCCACTAATGGATGTTAGCGATCACATTTTCCATTAATTCTCTATTTCTTGCAATATGTATCAGAGATTGTATGTCGTTAATCCCTGTCCATTGCCTTATGTTTCGGAGCCAGGACATTTTCTTGCGTCCCATTCCTCTCTTGCCTTCAATTTTACCCTCGATTATAAGTTGGAGGAACTGGTATTTTTCATTTCGCATGATGTGACCTAGATACGCCGTTTTCCTTTTCTTGATGGTTTCGAAAAGTTGGCGTTCTTGGTTTATTCTTTTAAGGACATCTATATTTGTGATTTTCGCTGTCCATGGTATTTTTAGGATACGGCGATAGAGCCACATTTCGAAAGCTTCTAATCTGTTTATATCCCTCGTTTTGAGTGTCCAGCCCTCTACGCCATATAGCAGCACTGACCACACGTAGCACTTAGTAAACCTTAGTCTCAGTTGAAGATCGAACTCTGAACAAGTCAGTACCTTCTTGAATTTTACGAAAGCTTGTCGAGCTTGCTCAATGCGACATTTTACTTCCCTGTCCGATGCCCAGTCTTCAAAAAGCCACGATCCCAGGTATTTAAATTTACTCACTCTTTCAATGGACTTAGTATTCAGTGTTATGGTGGAGTTTTCAAGTGCATCCAAGTTTCTGGAGATGATCATGAATTTGGTCTTTTTGGTATTAATCTCTAATCCCATTCGCTTACTGTATTCTCCGATTATAGTGACAAGTTGTTGAAGACTGATTTAAAAATATATTATATATATTTAAAATATATAATACATTTAAAATATATAATATATAATATAATATATATTTAAAAATATACCTACTGTTTTTTTCCACTGGTCAGGATTTAGTGATCTATCATTTTGTGCAAGTCTTTTTTATTATTCTTTTAGAATATGTTACGGATTATGCTATTGTTGTAATAATACTCATTTATTATGAAATATTTAATGTACACAAAGTAAAATCTACACCTTTTTGTTCTAACATCCTGCCAAGTCGCTTGTTCTTTTTCTTGCTAATGGCTAAGTTTCTAGTTGAACCGTTAAATTGCAGAATGGTAAAATAAGTTTTTGAAACCATTGGGCACGTTATGTTAGATTTAATTAATACATCTCTAACTACGGGTAGAATTCCTGATGTATTAAAAATAAGTACTATCACCCCTATTCAAAAAATACCCAATACTATCAAAGCTGAAGAATTCCGATCAATCAATACTTTACCTTCTCTTCCTATAGAGAAAATATTAGAAATTGCTTTTTTGAACAATTATTAGAACATGTAACAAAAAATAAAATTTTAATAATCAATCAGGTTTTCGAAAACAATTCTCTTGCAAATCAGCGTTACAAGTTACATTATGCCACATAAAGAGTAATTTAGATAAAACTATGTTCATAAGCGGTGTATTTCTTGATTTAAAAAGAGCTTTTGAAACCATTGACACGACAATAATGATTTCAACTTAAACAGTGTATAGGAAGTACAGTAATTGCGTGTTTAGAAATATTATTTACAAGTTCGCAATCAGAAAGTTCAATTTAAAGACCAATTGTCATCTGAAATAGATAGTAATACAGGGATTCTTCAAGGCAGTGTATTAGGCACCCTTTTATTTATTCTGTACATTAACAATATCGATATTTTTGTAATTTGTGATTTTATTAGCTTTTATTTTCGATGATACTCTAATCTGTTGTAGTGATAAAAATTTTGTTGGAGCTATTCAAAAAATAAACACTATTTTAAATATGATTAATAAATATTTAAGAATGAATAAACTGAAGTTGAATGTAAAGAAAACAAAGGCAATGGTTTCCACTACCAAACATAAATATAGCTTGCTTGATTCTGAAATCAAAAATTTAAATATTAATAATAAAAAAATTGAAATTGTCACAGTTAAATATTTGGGATTCCAGCTTGTCAATATTCTGAATTTTGAGAGTCACTTCGAGAACATTCATAAAAAAATATCAAAAAAACTTTACTTTCTGAGTAGAATATCTCAAAATTTATCAATGGAGTCAAACATAACAGTATATAACATAATTATTCAACCTCATTTTGTCTATTGCTCATCAATTTTATATTTATTTAACCTTAACAAACTTAATATGTCACACAAATTTTAGAACCATGGAATGAGAAAAATTCTTAAAACAAATCGCCGTACTCCCATTGGGACGATGTTAAATACTCTAAATTGGTTCTCGGTTGAAAATAAACTGTTTTATTTCTCCATGATTTTGGTCTTCAAAATAGTAAATGGATTATCACCTGAATATTTTCAAGCATTCATATCTTTCAACAAAAGTATTCATTCTTATAATATCCGAGGTTTAGATGACATATAATGTACCTAGAACTATGGATAAAAGTACGATGAATTCGCTCTTTTTTAAAAGCTTCCTTAAATTTAATCAGTTACCAACATCTGTAAAAAAATGTACTAGTCTCAATAATTTCAAACTGTTACTTAAACAAAATATATCAAAAATTTATTTCTTTATATTGTATGTATATTGAGTTTTTTCTATTTAAATATAGATCTATCTATCTGTGGCCTACTATTACTACAATTGTTCTCTGTTCCGGTATCACACTTAGCTGTATCTTCTCCTTCTTCTTTACGTGTCATCTTCGCGACGAAGGTTGGCAATAATCACTGAAGTGAAGTGAAGTGAGGAGTTCAGTTGAGCTTCATCCAAACCATTCTCTGATGTTTCTCAGCCAGGACATTCTTCTTCTACCTAAGCTGCGGTTTGCTTGAATCTTTCCCCGCATTATTGGTTTTAGGAATTCATATCTTTTACCACGTGTTATATGACCCAGATATTGTAGTGTTCTTATTTTGATGGAATCCAGTATCTTCCTGCTGTTCTCTATTCTTCTTAGTACTTATTCACTGGTTAGTCTGTCTGTCCAGGAGATTCTCAACATTCTTCGAAATGTCCACATTTTAAATGCTTCCAATTTATTGAGACATTGTTTATTTAAAGCCCATGTTTCCATACCATACAAAAGAAAAGAGAATACATAACACTTTAGTACTCGTTTTTAAAGATTTATGCTGAGATCTCTACAACATAATATTTTTCTATTCTAACTCTAATTTCTTTGGTACAATCGTTTGTTTCATTAATGTTTACCACTAAATAGTTATAATTCTGAACTTCTATGGTCTTAGTTTTTACCTGTGGATTGATGTGTTTAATATTTTTCTTTGATATAACCATGAATTTTGTTTTTTTTTATATTTAGTGACAGACCAAATTCTTTAAACGCCTGTTTGAAATCGATACACAAGTTGTAAATAGGTATGTTATATTCAACATATGTTATATTTTGTATTGTGAAAATATTATGGATGGATCGCAAAACAAACGAACAAGTTCTCGAACAACTAGGAAAACAATGCGAAGTTTTAAATTCCATAAAAATCAGGAAATTGGAATACTTGGGGCACATCATGAGAGGTGGAAAAAACGAACTACTAAGGAATATAATGCAGGGTAAAATCAAAGGCAAAAAAAGCGTAGGAAGACGTAAAATCTCGTGGCTACGCAATCTCCATGAATGGTTTGGATGCAGTTCAAATGAACTATTTGGACGCGTAACCAACAAAATTATAATTGCCAGAATGATTTCCAAACTCCGATAGGAGTGGAACTTGAAGAAGAAGAAGAACTTCTGGACAGTCTTGGTCAAGACATTCCTCGTTTCTTTTGCTTGAGGTTTCACCTCATGTTTCCTTTGCCATATTTGTAATTGTCGTTTGGATGACATTTCATTCTTCTTCAATGTTGTTTTGTTCTCCTCTTTCATTTAATATTACTTTTATTTTCTGCTGGTACTCATTCTTTTTTTTTAGGATTTTTAAACATATTTGTGTTCCATTTTCTTTGTTTGGCGCCTTTTTTTTCTTACCATTGATATTCTTTGTTTTACCTTCGATATAACCAAGAAATGGTCCGAATCGCAATTTGCGTCTCTATAAGTTCTAACATCCGTTACGGAAGTTGCCCATCACTTAGATATTATATGTGATCAATTTGATTAAATTTATTAGTACCAGGTATCATCCAGGTTCCTTTATGAATATTTTTATAAGTGGAATACGTACTAACAGTTCTTAGTTTGTTTGCCATTGCCAACTGTGCCAATCTTATACCGTTGTTGCTGGTAATATCAT